TAGACTCCCGGAGGATATTAGGGACCATGTTAAACATTTTGGCAATTTTTATTTCTGAGCAAAAAAAATTCAAAAAATTCCAAAATTGAAGAATAATATCCAAGCATTTTGCGAAACTTTGAAGGTTTCAAGGTCGGTGTCGAAAAGTCTCAAAATTCTAGGGAATACATCTCGGGGTCATATTATGTCCTTTGGAACCATATATGATCATTATACGTTGTCATAAATGTTCGTGATAGGTTTGAGTTAATGAAATTAGTGCAAGATGTAAATCGGTAAATAGGTCGTTTAAAGGCAAATTGGATGGTTCAACCCACCCAATTTGACTCCCGAATGGTATTAGGGAACATGGTAAACGTTTCGGCAATTTTAATTTACGGGCGAAAAAAAAGTCAATAAATTCCAAAACTGAAGGCTAATATCCACGCTTTTTGAGAAATTTTGGAGGTTTCGGGGTCTGGTGTCGAAAAGTTTTGAGATTTTAGGGGATACATCTCGGGGTCATATAATGCTGTTTGAAACCATATATGATCATTATATGTTGTCATAAATGTTCGTGATAGGCTTGAGTTAATGAAATTGATGAAGTTATAAACCGGTAAATTGGTCGTTTAAAGGCAAATTGGATAGTTTCACCCACCCAATTGGATTCCCGGAGGATATTAGAGACCATGTTGAACATTTTGGAATTTTTTATTTTCGAGCAAAAAAAGTCAAAAAATTCCAAAATTGAAGACTAATATCCAAGCATTTTGCGAAATTTTGAAGGTTTCGGGGCTTGATGTCGAAAAGTCTTGAAATTCTAGGGAATACATCTCGGGGTCATATAATGCCGTTTGGAACCATATATGATCATTATACGTTGTCATAAATGTTCGTGGTAGACTTGAGTTAATGAAATTAGTGCAAGTTGTAAATCGGTAAATAAGCCGTTAAAGGAAAATTGGATGGTTCCACTCACCAAATTGAACTACCAGAGGTTATTACGGACCATGACAAACATTTTGGCAATTTTTATTTACGGGCGAAAAAAAAGTCAAAAAAATCCATAATTGAAGTCTAATATCCACGTTGTTTGAGAAATTTTTGAGGTTTCGGGAACCGGTGTTTAAAAGACTTGAAATTTTAGGGAATACATCTCGGGGTCATACAATGTCGTTTGGAACCATATATGATAATTATTTGTTGTCATAAGTGTTCGTGATAGGCTTGAGTTAATGAAATCGGTGCAAGTTGTAACCGGTAAATTGGTCGTTTAAAGGCAAATTGGATGGTTCCACCCACCCAATTGGACTCCCGGAGAGTATTAGGGACCATGGTAAACTTTTTGTCAATTTTTATTTCCGGGCGAAAAAAAGTCAAAATTTTCCAAAATTGAAGACTAATCTCCACGTTTTTTGAGAAATTTTGGTTTCAGGGCCCGGTGTTGAAAAGCAATGAGAATTTAGGGGATACATCTCGGGGTCATATAATATCGTTTGGAACAATATATGATCTTTATATGTTGTCATAAATGTTCGTGGTAGGCTTGAGTTTATGAGATCGGTGTAAGTTGTAAACCGTAAATTGGTCGTTTAAAGGCAAATTGGATGGTTCCATTCACCCTATTGGACTCCCAGAGAATATTAGGGACCGTGGTAAACGATTCGGCAATTTTTATTTCTGGGCGATAAAAGTCAAAAAAATCCAAAAATTAAGAATTTCGGATGTTTCGAGGCCCGATGTCGAAAAGTCTTGAGATTTTATTAGGGGATATATTTCGGTCATATAATGCAGTTTGTAACCATGTATGATCATTATATGTTGTCATAAATGTTCGAGGTAAACTTGAATTAATGATATCGGTGCAAGTTGTAAATCGGTAAATTAGCTGTTTCAAGGCAAATTGGATGGTTCAACCCACCCAATTGGACTCCCGAATGGTATTAGGGAACATGGTAAACATGTCGGAAATTTTTATTTACGGGCGAAAAAAAGTCAAAAAATTCCAAAATTGAAGGCTAATATCCACGCTTTTTGAAAAATTTTGGAGGTTTCGGGGTCCGGTGTCGAAAAGTTTTGAGATTTTAGGAGATTCATCTCGGGGTCATATAATGCCATTTGAAACCATATATGATCATTATATATTGTTATAAATGTTTGTGGTAGGCTTGAATTAATGAAATCAACGAGAGTTGTAAATCGGTAAATTGGCCGTTTAAAGACAAATTGGATGGTCCCACCTACCTAATTGGACTCCCGAAGGATATTAGGGACCATGGTAAACATTTCGGCAATTTTTATTTTCGGGCGAAAAAAATCAAAAAATTCCAAAATTAAAAGCTTATATCAACGCTTTTTTAAAATTTTTGTAATTGTCGAGGCCCGGTGTCTAAAAGTGTCGAAATTCAGGTAAACAATGATAGAGAACCAACAAAATAGTTCTAAAGTTAAGAGTTTAAGACGATTAAAGTAAATTTAGTTGGGCCAGTAAGAACTTTTGAGAAGTTTCAATTTGGGAACCACTTTGGTAGTAGTGGTGTTATATTAACATTGTACCATAATATAAAGCAATATATACAAAACTAAAATACTGGCATGACTAGCAGAAATCACCGTCCTTAACAATCTTAAATTTTTCAAGCACAACTTTGCCTTCCTTGTATTTCTGTGATGGCTCATAAGCTTTGATGTACTTCCACCCTAGCGCCTCGCCGCAGTCGGAACAGAAAACATCAGCAACTGAGTGAAGGCCTGTGAGGAGATTTCTGTTCTCCTTTGGCCCTGTAACTATATTCATTGCATGGGAGAACAAATATGCCCTCCCTGTATGTGCCTAATTTAAACAACATATACCATTTCATATAAATTAAATATTTCGCAAAATAATACTCCTTTTGTCTCTAGGTTACGCCACGTTCTCTTTAATTAATTAAAAATTAATTTTAATCGGTAAAAATTATTAACTGCACATGACGTGTATACAAGTGAATCAACAAATTCCAATTTTGATCAGGTAACACTACAAATCAAAATAATTTCAAATCAGAAAATGCTTGGTGAGACAAAACAATTAAGTCCTTATTGATTTAATACATGTTGCAATCTTTATACATATTGACCATTTACTCATAAATAATTCAAAAGTAATTAATTTGTGAAAAATGTAGATAAAATCATAAAATTTCTTTTTTTAGAAGCTCTGCAATTCTCTGTTTGAACAAATACCAGACTAAAAGATTTAAGTTTAATCCAAAAGGAGATATTTTTTCCTTAGATTTTGCTTAGATACATACAATGTTCTTGAATATATATGAATTTTTTTTTGTCTGTCTCTAATTATGCTAATCAAATACCTGGAATGATTTAGAGACAATATCATCATGCTCGGCGACATAATTTCGACAAACGAAACAGCAATAAGCCCTTAATCCAGCTTCATCAGCCATTAGATAAAACCTCTTGCACCTAAAACACAAGCAAGACTTAAACAACAGAAAAAGAAAAAAGATATATTGTTGAAAAATTATAAACTGGCAGGGTTATTTAGTAAATACAATAAAGTTGTTTTATTTTCAGAAGAAATGAAAATAAAAATCAAGTAAATACAAACCAGTACACTGAATTTCTACTGCAGTGATCACATGAAGGTGGATTTTTTCCAACTATGGAAAATAAAATTGGGGTATCAATAATTGGTGACAAGTGGATATAAAATTTGGTTGAAAAAGGTATCTTTATAAAGGAGTTATCAACTAGCTTAATATTGGATTTATGACTTTGGTTTAGCCTACAAGAATTAAAAAATTCAATTGTATAGATAAGTAGGGATATAATTCTATATTTTAAGCATTAAAGGGTCATTGTTACTTGTTTAGGTGAAGGAATTTTGTTGTGGTAATCAAGATTATAACTATTTATCAATTATTATCAGAAACTTGTTAAAATGAAAGTTCGTAGAATTTTTTAGCCTATTACGATCAATCTAGTTCGGTTTAACAAGCATAAGCCGTGGCGTGATCATGATCAGAAAATTGAAAGTTATTCTACAGCCACTAAGATCATCAAAAGAGATTTGTGAAGGGTGAGTATAGTTATGTCGACTGAATTTCTAAAAAAAAAAAAAATGACGTATAAGGTCTATATATTAAAATGTGACATATTATTTGTAGACGCAGAAAGACGTGTTATGAGTATTTAATAATGTAGGTACAATTAATAACCTACCTCAACTCCTCAAGATGAGATGGCCAGATGGGTCCTTTATTTCTTTTCCTCTTTCTGTATTGCATGCAGAGGCAGATATACTGTGCACAAACTCCACAAAGGGTATGGTAGGCACATGTAAACTCTGAGTTCAAAAGTGTTTTTGAAGCTGTTTGATATAATTGTAGATAGGGGAATAGGGTTGTGGGGAGTAATATAGCGTGGTCCTGTGTAAAACAACTACTACACAAGTATGGGAAATTAGAATGGAAAGATACATCAAATGTTAAAATAAAGATCAAAACTTTGGCATGAGATTGTCTAAACTAACAAAATCACTATAAGCTAGGGTGCAAATGATAATAGAGAAACATTTTAACCAGTATTTGTATGTAATATAGAGTATATACATTTACCTGTAATTCTTGAAAAAAATATAAGGAAAGATGTATAAGTAGGGGTGATAGAGCCTAGGGGCACAATCAATTTCTAAATGAACTAGTCTCGAGCCAAGTCAGAACCAGATCAACTTATGCTGATCACAGGGTATGTATACAGTGGGGTAGAGGGGATCGACTGACCTAGTTATTGCCAACAATAGGGTGGCCTGAGCTCATCTAACAATGACTACAACCTTACCTGAAGTTTATGACTCGGAGCCATTTGTAATCCAAACAACTAGGTACAGATTGCCGACTATGTGTTGACAAATGACAATCCATCTTCTGTGCTGAGCTGAGATTAGTATTTGTGTCTTCATGTTTTCAGGGAAACAAATACAGTTAAACATGCAAGAGCAACGAGAATAACAAATATAAATGCTTAATGCCAAGTTATACATTAATAATTCTCAATATATGTACACATTGTCCTCTCAACTGTTTCTATTTCCAATTCAATAAAAATCATCTACCAACCTACAGAAGAACTGAAGAAGGCTACAAATAAATCAAAAAGAATGTATGAATATGTGCAAAGAAACCTTAACTAAAGCTTAGACAGGCTTTCCAAAAGCTAAATTTACCACAACTAAAAAAAATCTGGCATGGAGGGTTAACATAACATTACCGCTAATAAGAAAAATTTTGGAAAAAAAAAAAAAAAAAAAACATAAAATTATTCACAATATTCACACTGAAAGAGCAACCATCTTTTTCTTCATCATCCACTTCTTTTTAGCAGCCTCTAATGCCTCTTCCCTCATTCTAGCAAGTTCTTCGAACCAGTGCTGATACTGAGTTTCGATAGAAGCAAGGTCTGCCCTTAGTTCATCATCTTGTTCTTCCTCATTTAACGAGGAGGAGGAACTGCTAGCTAAGCTAGTTAAACCAGAAATTCCACCATGTTCCATTGAAGATGCACCTTCGGAGTTTTTGGTCACCTCATTCAAGTGGGTACATCCACTGAGATGGTTATTATTTCTTGAAATTTTGTATTCTTCTCTGTGTGATTCTCCAATATCCATCTCAGGTTTTTTGACACTCAAACGTTTGCAACAATCATCGATGCAGTAGTCAAGGCTTTGCAATGCTTTACCTAAAATGCCAGAAGAATCCTCAGCAAACACATCTGCAACAAAAAGATCTATATCATGATTTCAGAATTATAGCAGATCTTGTATAGCAAATCTTGTGTAAAATTCATCCCAGAAAAGAAAAATGATCACGCCAAGGTATAGAAAAAAGTGACTCGATATCACAGTAAGTAACATTGTAAGACCAATTCAAAAAGGATTTTGCGTCAGGATTTTATTGACAAATGATTTGACTTTCCACATGCAAGGAGGAATGCTCTTAAGAACTATCTTATAAACCAAAATAAAAATAAAAAATACATAAAAATTCTGCTCACCGTCCATGCTAGTATCTCCTTTGTTTTTAACCACCGTATCATCACCTCTTTTCTCCGGTTTAGCAGAAGAATAAACAGATGATGGTTTTGAATTTATTGTAATTTTCTTTATTAAGTAATCAATAAATTCGGCTGTAAACTCCATGTCATAATCAGCCAAATCTTGCATTGCAACCATTTCCTCTGCTAATGCAATTGCCGTATCAAACTCCAGATAAAAGACAAAATCTATTTTCTTCACCTCTCCTAAAATTTTCCCAAAATGGAAATGAATAAGCTAATAATGATCAGAGATTGTACTAAATTATAAGATAATCTTTACCTACCTGAGGGGTACACAATACGCAACGTCAAGGATATGGAGTTGTCATCATGATTTTTCTTCCCTCTTAGTTGGAACAAATTTCCCATATGAGCCCTCGTGAATTCCAAAACTTGGTTGGTTGGACTGACGTAGCCATTACCAGATGAGTTGCTCCAGTGGTTAAGTTTACAATGATCAGCATCAAGATCAATGGAATGAGACGTTGATGTTGAAGCAGTGGATCTGGGAGGTTGGCTGGGCATCACAATGGGATGGCGTATGGGCTCTTTTGGGCTTTCCACTTGAAGGAAAGAGTCCTTGAGTAGCTCCTTTGCCGGCAATCTTTCTGAAACAGGAACCAAACACTTCTCAATAAACTCCTTCATTCGAAGATCTTTCACCTTGGCAAGGGAAGCTGGCTTAATGCCCTGCACATAACACCAAGAGACCATGTAACTGAGATTGTTTCTTATTCCAAATCGCCAAAATTTGGAAAAGGGTACTACATACATATTAACCTGCACCTCATGCAAGTTGTTGGTAACGTCCACATACTACTCATCAGATTTAAGGTTTTCATTAGATGTTAAACTTACACTGCCGATTTTTTAATTATTTCTGGAAGGAGGGTTTTTTTTTTTTTTTTTTTTTTTTTTTGGAAATTCATAGATACTTCTACAAAATCACTTCTACAGGCAACTTGACATATCAAACACACATTACAGCTGCAGTTACCCAATTCTCATTTACATTCCTCCAACCTCTCATCTACCTCACTTCACATACAATAGATGATAGACATCAAGTAATTTCAGGAGAAATATAGTAATACATGAGTAGATCGCAAACGACAAAAACCTTGGGTGCTTTTAGGTAAAAACAAAAGGGTCAATTTGTAAAATAGAGCTATAGCTCGTGTGCATTCTTTGTAATTTCACCAAGGAAAGCACAACGTCAAAGCAAACAAGAAGCAAAAAAATAAAAGTGAAAAATCATAGACAAACTTACAGAGGTAACCTTCTTGAAAATTTGAGCTGGATTTTTGCATTCACTATAAGGATATTCAAAAGTTACCATCTCTAACATGCACATTCCAAAAGAATATACGTCAGCGAGTTCGTTATAATCTTCTTCGTAGAGCTCTGGAGCCATGAATTCGGGTGTTCCTATTATAAAAACACAAAACAAGTCAACAAAACTCTTCTCACTATCTAAAGATGGCGAAACAAAACTTAAAGCCTCACCAATGACACTGTGTGCAGTTGGCTGCTGCATGACAGTTGCTAATCCTAGATCTCCAATCTTAACCTCTCCATTATTTCCATTGATAAAAATATTGTCACATTTCAAATCTCGGTGTATAACTGGTGGGTCATGACTATGAAGATAAGCTAAACCCCTGAGAATCTGTCTTGCCCAATTCTTCACAGCCTTCATGTCTACATTTCTGTGCTTCTTTCGATATCTATTACACCAAAGAGATAATTAATGCAAAATATAGATAATAAACAATCAGCTGTTACCCCACAAAAAAAAAAAAAAAAAAAAAAAAAAAAACACAGCTGCCACATCATTAAAATGCTACATTACTCGATCTGTCCTTGTAACCTCAAGTACTCATGTCAGGTCCTCAACACTTTCACATAAGTATCCTTCATTTATAAAATAGTTGCAATCTTGATACACTTACATGTATTCGCATAAGTATGTGAGTCTGAATAATTAAGCTGAAATGCAAGAAAAGGAACAAACTTACTCCCTCAAATTGCCAGATGTGAAGAGTTCAGTGATCATGTTCACCGTTTTCTTCTTGTCATCCACCCATGAATCATACAGCTTTATGATGTTTTCATGTTTTAATTTCTTGAGAAGATTAACTTCAGAATATAGCTTCTCCAGTCCTTCTGGAGACCGTAGAACATCATTGATCTTCACACGATTCCAAGCAACCTCTATTCCATTGACTTCGTCAAATGCCCTATAACTGCAAACAAAGGAAATGCTTAAGAAATATACAAGAAAAAATATAGAAGATGAACACGGCTTTCTCATTATGTGAAGTTTCATAGGGACAATTCCACCATCATCAGATTATTTGTGAAATGTCCTCAAGGACAGTGACTTGATACATTATGCATTAAAAATAAAAAATAAAAAAATGTCAATGCTCATAACATCAGCTAGCAAACTACAGAATAAAGAATAGGAAACGTACACTGACTTGAACGCTCCTTTCCCTAAGACTTCACCAAACTGTAGCAAAACAAATTGGAAAATCAAATCAATATTAGCAATGGCAAAAAGAAGAATAGAATATATTGAGACAAGCATCTATCTATGTATAACCCAAATAATTTTGTCAAGGGAAACTCACCAAAACTGTATGACTCGGATATGGCAAGAGGATACCAGTAGTAAGGTAGGTGAAGCATACGAATAACATAAATTACGTATGCAATTGATCAAAAAGGTATATTATCAACAAAAATACAGCTCTTGTAACACCCCCAACCCACCAAAAAAATGATGGCATAGCTTGTACCGTTGTACGGAGTATAAAAGAATCACCATCACTTGTTTTAAGATCATCCTCTACTACAAGGTGATTAGTGCAACAACACTGAATTACACTTAAATTACTTAAAGATCATAAACACATCCAAGCAAGACTACCAAACAACAGATTACTAGCACAATGTGTATTGATCAACTTATCAGCTATCAGTCTTATCACCATACTCTTTGGTTTGTTGTAGGGGTGAGTGGGGAGCGAAACTGGCGAAATATGAAAAAATAGAGACAAAAATATGACATTACTTATATGATTTAGCCAATAAAACTAAATCCAATACAGCCCCAAACGGAAAAACCGCAATCCCCTAGCCAAGGGTTAAGTACAAGCATCAAGCCTCAATACTCAATTACACATTTGTAAAATCAAACTATAGTGTTATTTTGTCGTACATTCCCAAACTAATCGTTAGCCCTTACGGCGTCACGGCTACCTACATAAGGGACCAAAATCCAAATAGTGTAAGTAGGAACCCAACAAGGGAGCAAAATTTGGCACACTTGGTGATACTTGTAAATTCAATGCAACATGAAAATATACAGTATAACGCAATAAATTTTGAGCGAATAACATCAAACAAAATGCAGGACAAATTTAAACAACAAAAATGAGCAAAAAAAAAACACGCCGAATATGAAAATTAAAAATCCAAAATTGTGACATTTAAATACCCGAACATAGCGACCGGTTGGATCTTTCTCCACAAACTCGGGTTCACCTGCCTCATTGTCATTGGTAGGAGCAGCTGATCCTTTTCCGGGCGACATCCCTGCAATTCAAAAAAAAAAAAAATATGCAGAAAATTTTTGTTTTCAATTTTTACAAAAAAAAAAAAAAAAAAAAAAAAAAAAAAAAAAAAAAAAAAGAGGTTTTTTTTAAATCCGAAAAAAGATTATTTTGATCAAAATAAGTAGAAAAATCGAATGCCGATCTTAGAAAAGAGAATTGGCATCGTTATATGAAATAAAAACTGCCCAGAAATTAAAACGGACTACCCTCTCCATTTTCATTAGAAATCATGCCCACAATTTATAAAACCCTTAAAAAGATTTGATTTTTATTGTAAATTATGCAACAATTTTGTATATACGACTATAAAATCAACACCCCGTCTTCAAAATCCATGACTCCGTTACACTGATTAATTGATAATTGATCAAATTTTTATAATCATCCCTTCAAACTCCCCCATTTAATTCAATCATTTCAGGGAAAATGAAGGGATGATCAAAAACAAGGCAAAAAAAAATGAAAATCAAAAGAAAAAAAAAATGAAGGAAAATGAAGAAGGCGGAGGTTTTGCAGAAGTGAAGGAAAGCAAACACTTGTTTGTTTGATACAGTTTTGACTTTAGAAGACTTAAACAATTTAATACTCTACTTAATTAAAAAAGTTAAGCTACCTGTAAAGTGACGTCGTTTAAGTTGTATAAGTGAATGAAATTATGTTAAGCAAAAAGAACGTCGCGAATTCCGCCGGTGAGACAACTAATTCTTGCTTTCATTCAAGGGGTTTTTTTGGATCACGAGGGAACAGATTGTATAACATGATACTTTTGAGATATTTTAATCAAAACTTTACAAAAGTTTAAAACATAGGATGTTGGTAGGTTGAAGATGTTTGTAGTAATATCCATATTTGTTTGCTCGTGAAATTAATGAATTCACTATTTTAATTTTAATTTTATTTGAATAAAGTTGAAACCATTCTTTAATAGAATTGTTGATCTGGTTTGATATGAATTTTATTGTAATGTTTTGGTTTGTATAATCTAATTTGATTTTCAAGTTTGATCAAAATTTAAACTTATTTGAACTCTAATCCGTAAAATAAAACATATCAAATAGGATTTCAGAAGATTTTTTTTTTTTCAAGTAAATGAGATCTCATTAGATTTCATGTTAATACGTATTTTTTAATTATAAAATTTCCATAATTTTTTTAACAACGAAATTAAAGATATAAGCCCTGAAAAATTTAAAGATATTTAATGAAAACTACTCGCAACTGCAAATTAAAAAGACAAGATCTGATATGAAATAAGTTAATATCAACTTAAATAAGTTAAACTAAGGGCTTGTTCTCTTACGTTGAAATTCAGTTCAGTTCAATTCAGCTCAGTTCAGTTCAGCTCAGTTTAGTTCAGTTTAGTTCAGTTCAGCTCAGCTCAGCTCATCTCCTAATTTCCTTCTCTTATAAAATATTCATTTTAGTTCAGTTCAGTTCAGCTCAGTTTAGTTCAGTTTAGTTCAGTTCAGTTCAGCTCAATTCAGTTCAGTTCAGTTCAACTGAGTTCAGTCAATGAGAACAGGCCCTAAGCTAAACATACAAACGAATGATTTCTCTGAATGGGTCAATGGATGGGGTTGGCTTTATTGATTTTAGGTTGGTACTTTGGTAGGCTTATTCAATGACCTACAGTCTAGGGTTTTAAGTTTAGCACCATGTGAACTCGCTGAATCAAAAGTTTGGTAAAAGGACGATTTATATTGTTTAGTCAATTGAAAGATAGTGACTATAATGAATAAGTTTTTATTAATACAAATGCTTTGGTGATACTATTAATATTTGTGTTGAATTGCTTCCTCCTAATAAAAAATTGCTTCCTAATGCCAAAATATTGTTAAAGTGGATAAAAGAATTACTATTAGCTAAATCAATGGACATATTTTATTTTATTGAATTAAATGTACAAATTTATCATTATTATTTTCCATGAAGCTTGGTCGCATGGATGTGAGTTGCACGACACAAAAAAAATTTAGCAATATCTCGAGTCGTAATGTAAGAAATATTTTGAAATGTACGGTAGTGTTTATTGTACCTTCCAAAAAGTATACTAGTATTATAAAACTCATGACCGTGCCAAAAATATTTTGTTTTTATTTTAGGTAATCAAGATTATTCAAGATTGACTATCATCTATTCTTCTCAAAAAAAAAAAAAAAAAAAAAAAAAAAAAGATTGACTATCATCTACAAAGGCTTTATCTTACTTGCATAAAAGTACAACTTATACAAAAATTACAAAGTACGTTCTTTAAAAAAAAAAGTACGTAGTATCTATTTATTTTTGAAAAAATAATTTCTGAAAACAATTGATAAATTTCAAATGAGAGATTTCATTTGAGAGTATTAGGGTCTGTTCTCATACGTTGAAATATTTATTTCCTTCTATTATAAAATATTCATTTCAGTTAAGTTCAGTTCAGCTGAGTTCAGTCAATGAGAACAAACTCTCAATGTTTCTATGCTTTGTCCATTAGAAATTAATTAACACACACTCCATTTCCTTTTCCAATCGTTTACTTGTTTTATTTTCTTATTTGGAAAGCTTTTACAATATTTGAGTACATTCACGGATGGTCTTCGATCCAGGTGACTAGGGGTGTTCAAAAATACCCGACCCGATTGACCCGACCCGCTGACCCGCCGTCCCGATAAATTTATGCCGGGTATTTTTTCTTTGGGAAATTCCCATTGGTACCATCAAGGTTTTGACTTTTCCTATTGGTACCACATTTTTTTTTACTTCCTAATGATACACCCCAGTTTTTGACTTACTAACTGACGTGATTAAGTCTTAATCAGACGTTAATAAGTTGGTTTTGTAGCAGCTTAGGTTTAAAAAAAAGGGAAAAGTCTATTATGCCCCCACTTAAATCATTTCCCTCCAAACAATTCCCTCCCTTTAAATGCACCACTTCCTATTTTTTTTCTCCATTTCATTTCTCCCCCATCACTGAATTTATCTTACTCTCCAATTGTGTAACACCCCAATAATTCTCCCTTTTCCAACCCACTTACTTTAAATAAAAAGAGAGGAGAATCATTGGCATGTTACCGCCACGTGTTAAAACGTTAAGGCTTTATCAAAGTATTGCAGCGGAAATCCAACTTAAATCTTAAAATAATATAATTTAGAAAACCAATAAGTCAAAGCTTACAAATTGGAACCATAAAGGCCCTTATTAAAACCAACCCAATATTCCAAAATCCCAAAACATAATTAAAATAGTAAAACATAAATAAGTTCAACACAAAGAACAAATACTCTCAATCACACCAATCCCTTGACAACGCGTATGTCAAATCCCCGAACTTCACATCATCAAGCTAACCTGTGCAATACTGCTCCCCAATAATACAAGTGTAATAATTGGATCATCACAGGGTCATTGAAAGGCGAAGGCCATGACCAAAAGAAAACACACAAAAGCACGCAATCAGCAAAGCTGAGTACATACAAGCTACAACGTACCAAGCCTAGCATGCTCAACTAATTAAAGTAAATAAACATACAACATAAATTCATTAATCAAGACTCCACACTTAAACAATTCAATCGACTCAACATACTTGCTAATCAATTCCAAACACTTGACTCTTTATATTTAATTTAATTAATTTAGTTGGAGTAAGCAATAGACGAGGTTGTCCAATCCACCAAATCATTTTGGTCCCAAATGACCATTTAAAATAAAAGTTTAGCGCGATGCAAGAATGGGCGCGACTCCATTCTCACAAAGTTAGTCTAGGATCCCATCTAACTTTCATTATAAAATAAAATTGTAAATACCAAAAGAAAAGAGGACATGTTGATCAAACAAGCCTCGGAAAGCCACGGGCTACCACCGTGTACCCCAACCCATAATTGTCAATACTCTAGAAGTGCACGCTTTCTAAAGTTTTATTGCTCATCCATGTTTCACTTTACGTGATTACAATTTTAATTAATAGCCGACTCAATCAAGAAGACCATACATAACAATCATACATCAATTCACTTTTAATCTTATTTAGGACAATGGTGATCATATCACAAGTTGACCTTTAATTCCATTAAACTTCCAAATTATTCAAAATTGTTGAACATAGTCAACCCACCTAGCCATTTCGGCTTAATCCACTTTTACTCAACATACTAACAAGTCATGCTCGAGTAATAAAATAAATAATAACCTTGTGGAATAATTAATAAATTCACTCCACTTAAACCATTCAATTTCAATCCTTTAATAATCCAAATGTGGTTAACAAACCGATCCAATAAAAATATGTCTGTATCAACATTCCATACAAACAATTAATCCAATATAATTCAACATGTTTGCATCCATAATTCCATACAAACATAATCAATTCACCAAAACTTGTCTCATAAACATAAGCACATGAATTAATTAAATGTATAACCAAACAATTTTCATCCAAGTGTTCTCTAATCATGAAACTAAGTTCTTTTCTTTGGTACCTAAACATGATACTACTTACAACGAAGTAGACATGTACGTACCTCGTATAAACAATCCTTTGTGCCACTTTTAATCACTTAAAAGTCTCCTAAGAAATAATCACTTCCTAGAAAACAAGCAACAATAATAAATTAATACTTAACCAAATTTTCAGCAATATAATTTAGATTAAAACTCCTTAAAACTTCATTAAAAACATGTTTTTATGGTTAATTATGCATTAGAAATACAATAGGAACAAAAGCCCCAATTTAATTAGTCATAAGAACCCTAAAATCCCAATTTAAATAAATTGAAACCCTAGGTTTTTAAAATTATAAAATCTGAAAATTATAACAACAATTATAATCTGAAATTATTAGTTTAAAACATAAAAACATGATTTTGATACTAAAAATATAAACTTTATACTATAAAATCAAAACCCAAAACTAATCATAAACATTAAGCATAAAAAAAAAAAAAAAAAACTTCGTTAAAAATAAAAAAATGCCCGAAAATCATATTTAGAGGCTGAATTTGGCCACTAAAGGGTGGTATTCACTACTAAAGATAGTGAGTTTTACTTAAAACATAGTTTCCACATGTAAAACACTACTTTTTTGTCAAAATCGGATGATTTCAGAACCTGATCGGGATTAATATTTACGAACCAAAATCTAAACATTAAAACACGAATTTACGTGTTCAAAATAATATGGAATTAAGTTAAACTAATTAGTAGTATAATCACCAAAATTTCAAAACATCATTACTATAAAAGCCCTAAATCGATTGTTCACAAAAACCCTAAAATCATGATTTTCAATGATTAAAAACCCTAGGTTATTAAATTTACAAAATCCGAAAATTATAACATTTATAAAATCTGAAATTATAAAGTTTAATCATCAAAATACAAGTTGATACTAATTAAATTAATTTCAAACAATAAAATCAAAACCCATAATCAATAATTATAATTACACAAATTAATAAAACAAAGGAGAAAGAAAATAAGACTAACCTTTGTGTGGGGAAATTTTTGGGGATGAATGGGGTATTTATAGGAGAGAGGGTAGTAGGGTAAGTAGGGATATTGGGCCTCATTAAATTAATGGGTCAAT